TTGATCTCTAAATTCGCAAGCGAAAAACATAACAAAATGTGTAGGAGCAGAATTTATATTCATCGCATTAAAACTTATGGCTATAAGCAGCTAAATGGCAATCAATGCTTTTTTAAGACTTTGATCGGCTAACTTTAATTTGTTTCTTTCTTGCTGTTTATTACTTCGAGTTGTTTATTATTTATCTTTTATGCTGTGTGTTCTGTTCTGTTCTGTGTTCTGTTCTGTTCTGGATTCTGTTTGAGTAAGTTGGCAAACGCAGCTGTTGCCAGTGCCAGTGTTGACAAACAAACACTAAACACTAATTAAACAGCTGTCCAAAGCATGCGATGGCATTGAATTACACAGACATGGTTAATATATGCATATATATAATATATGCATATAATATATATATGTAAGAAAGAGTCCTTGGCTGAGATTGAGCGATAACTAAAGCGCATTAAAGTCGTCTCATAAATTGGCCAAAACAAAAGCCAGTCTGATTAGTTACCGTTCGACTTTGGGCTGGTAAATAATAAATTAAAGAGAATTACGTCAAGCAAAATTGGCAAATCAATGCAAATGACTGGACAAACCACAACTGGAAGAAAAACATAAAGAGCGAGACAGAGAGGGAAAGATAAAGAGAGGGGCGGAGAGAGGGGCATAATCGGACAACGACTGAAAGCAAAAGCTTTTGATATTAATTAGTCAAATGTACGTTAAAGCCACATAAAAGATGTCAGTGTGCCACAAGGATGTACAAACGTGTTTTTTGATTTTGTATATTAGAAATTGAATTAGTATGCAAAGAAACAGGTAAAACGAGTAAGGTCCGCCTGCAGTCATCATCACTTACAACGAACTTTGAATGCTCTTCCGCCTGAGGAAATTTCAATGATTATCGCTAAACATGAATCAAAGAGAAGCAGTAAGATGAATGAGATGAGTCTGCTATTTAAATTATTAATTAGAAAGAGGATTTAGAGAACTAAAGAGAGAAAGAGAGAGGGAGCAGTGAGAAATGGTGAGAAATTATTTAAGAGACTATCTTAAAGTGCTGCCTCATGCATATGTAGTTAAACAGATCATTTTAATTTTAATTTCTGAAAAAGTTATCAAGTTTTATACACCTGTAGTTAAAAGTAAGTTGAGTTAGTGTTTTAATTTTCCTTAACTGTTTACAAATTATCCAAATTAGCATAATCAGACAAACTAAGTGCGAAGTGCTTAAAATTGTAATATTGTTGAAAGAGTTTTAGAAACGCTGAAAGAAATGTGTATTAACATTTATTGTCAATGTAAAAAAAATAATTATGCTTGAAAACTGAGTGTGAAAAATGTTATAATTGTTTTTTGCTATGAAAAGTCTTAGTTATGCTGATAAAGTTGAAAATTAAGCGTTGATAAATGTTTTAAGAGTTTATTCTTATCTTAGACTTGGTTTATGTCCCCGCACTTTTTTTTTAATTATGTTGTAGATTAAGTGCTGATAACTGTCTTAAGTGCTTTAGTCAGGTCGAGTGTTCTTAAACGACACTATTTTATTTGTATATTCCACAATATATAATTCTAATTCAGAGGTTATTGAACTATACATTTCGAGAAACTTGAGTTTTAAGCTATTTTTTATGAAAGCTAAAAATACCATTTCGATAACTTGGCCAAAAATAGTCAGATCGCCGAGTTATTTTCAATATATGTTTTTTCTAAATTAATTTTAAGTTGTAAAAAGAGGTTAGCAAACATCAAACAAGATTATTTCTGTCTAGCCTAAGTTATATTTGCAGCTAGCTTTAGCTGTATAACAGAGCCAGTATGCTCCGAATTAGTAGAGTCTGCGATACATATTCATCTAGCTGGCCGAGCACTCGTTTAATGAAAGTGCAGCAGCAGCAGCAGCAGCAGCTGCTGGCAACAAGTTGCACGCATGCGCTTGCCCAGTCAAGCGAGAGAGAGAGAGAGAGAGAGAGGGCGAGAACGGGAGAGATAGAGGGAGGGCAGGAGAAAGAGCGAGAAGGAAGTCAATAGTTGATAGGCGGCAAGGCAAAGCAAGGCAAGGCAAGCACAATGTGCATATGGCAATGCCTCTAGAATATTTTTTGTGTCTGTTTGCTTCGAGTCTCATGATTATTGTAACCGGTTTTTGGACTTGGCCGCAAACAACGGCAGCAACAACAACAAGTTGCGACTCCCATGAGTGGCTGCTGCAACTTGGGTTCATTGTTTACCCAGACTGCGCTGTTGTTATTATTATTATTACCATTGTTGCTGTTGTTGTTGTTGTACATACATGTGCGTTACTCTTTGTTTGCCTACCTACGATCTGCCCAGACTCGGTCGCAGTCTCAGTCTTGGTTTAATTACACTTTTTCCAACGAAACACACACACACATATAACTCTTCACATCTAGCGGAAGTTGTACAAAAGCCGCAGCAGACTGGCCGCATAACAACAACGACAACAGCAGCAGCAGCAGACAAGAAATAATAACAACAATAATGTAACAAAAAGTTCAACAAACATGTGTCACATACGTGCACATAAAGCCCAGTTGCTTTTCGGTCAAAACTCTTTGGTCGTAAATGAAGTTTCGTTGAACTCCCTGGCGATGCTTTATGTAAGCCGCTTAAGAACAAAAACATCAGAAACAAAAAAAAACTAAAATCATAAAATTGTTTAATTGACGAAAAGCTTTAAGACTGAACTGAGAGTGGACATTAAATGCTCATAAATCTTGTTACTTTAATTTGCACGCCTATTATTCCATGATCTGATATAGTATTTAATGACTCAAGATTAATATAAGATCAAGTTTAAATTTTAAAATATAAAGTTTTATGTTAGTTGCAAATGAATAGATAAACTCGCTTATTAAATCTGCAAATTTTTATTTAAGCAGTAATAATCCTTAAAGTAAAACAGGCTTATTATTATCTGATCGGATATAACTATATCTTTATATATTTGAAAAAAATCAATTTAGGAATATAAGGTCTTTTTTTGCAATTTAAATTGAATAGCTGAGGTCGAAACTTGATAACTATTCTAAATTTTTCTTACTTATATATAGTTATAATATTAGCATGTCTGATTGTAAAACTAAAATAAAAAATTAAATTATTAATTTACTCATTAAATATTTATTAAATTAAAGTTTCAATTCAAATTTCTAAAAATCAATTGGTTTTCAAAAAATAAGTCATCAAATTAGAAAGTGGCTCACTTCACTTCAATTAAATTAAAAGCAAAGCTTAAATAACAGACCTTTTCGGAATACAAGTAAAAAATTAAAACAAAAAAGAGACTTACATCAATTAACGAAATGCAGCAAAAAGCGTCAATTGGCGTTGACGTTGATGTAGTTGGTGTCTGTTTTTTTTTTTTTCAATGCTGCATTCAATCAAAACACAAATCACACTGCAATTGTAAAAAATTGTATTTATTATGGACTTGAGCACACACTTTCACGGGCACAACAAACAATTAATTGACTAGATTTTTGCAGTTTGTACATATTCCACTTCTCTATCTCTGTCTCTCCTTCTGTCTCTTTCTGTACCTCCTGCGATGAAATGATCAACAGCTGGCCAATTGTCAATAGTCAACAGCAAGCGGGTTTGGTATGTTTTGCACTGCGCAGAGACGGCCATAAAAAACTTTCGCTCAAAACGGATGCAGCAGGCGACTCACTCACTCCTCCAAATGGGAAACTTAGCTGCAAACGGATTAAGAAAGAGCGAGAGCAACTGGTTTCTTGTAACAGGAATTTGGACAGTGTTGCCAAATGGCAGGCATTTTATTAATTATATATATTATGTTATTTGTTTCTTGTATTTGCAAAAACAAAACAAAAACACACACACACTCACAGACACACACGTTGGAATATTTTTCACCTGAATTATCTCAAATTCTTTGTTGTTGTTGGTGTTCTAATTTATTTGTTTCAGCGCTGGCCTACAAAAAACCATATTTTTTTTTTTAATTATTCTCGTTTTTTGTTTTTTTGTTTTTGTTTTGCACTTTCTTTTGGCGCTTGGGTATTTTTACTGCTATGCCTGCAAGAAGTGATCTTTTTTCTTCTTGTTCTCTCTCTCTTTCTTGCCTATTTATAACAATTCACGCATACCACACACATGCACACACACACACACACACTAAGAAAACCAAAAACCAGCCAAACGTAGCCGACAACAACAACAGCAAACACACAGGTGAAAATTAGTGCAGCAATTTCGTGGTTGTACTTATTTTTTTTTGTGGCTGTTTGCTGTTGCTGTTTTCTGTTTGCTGATATTACAGTATTTTGGCATGCGTACCACTAAAATAATAATTGAACAGCGAATGTGTATAAATGAAATTCAAATTTATGTTTAAAAACGATTCAATTCGTTGCTGAATTGCTTTGCATTTAATATTAACTTTTTTTTATATTGAGATCACTTTCTTATTATTGCAGTTTAGTTGCATTATGTTTCAAACATACATTTAACTTATTTGGATTTTCAAATAATTTATTATACGAGAAGGCGCGCTGAACAATCCACAACATCCACGATTCGGCGGCAAAACAATAACTAACCATGGTATATAAATAATGTGTAAGCGATGCTAAAAAAACTGTGACTGTAAGCACGATGAGAAATGTTGCGCTCTCTTTGACTGTTATACTCAAATTGGTAATGTTACTTCCAGAGTGATCAAATAATGTTAACATGCTCTGCAGGATGTAAATAACATTTGAGCATAAGAGGATAATTTTTGAATTTGTAATTAAATAAAAATATTTATATTCTTGATCATTTTAGTCTGCCTCTCAAAGCAACAGCTCTAACATAAAATTGTTATATCCCAATATTTATAATAGGACTTGAAGATGTGAAAAGTTGAATTCTTTTATTTGTACGAAATCGAAACGAATTAAATTAGATAATGGACAATTTTATGCTTACGATATAATTGCAAACGATGTAAACTTATACAACTATTTTGGCAAATACGAAGACGACATGAATGAACATGTTTACTTAACACAAACACATTTAATAAAAACTTAAGCTAAGATAGGCCTTGGTGATTTAAACGGTGGGCAAAATTGCAGTCAGTTTCGAGTCTTTCTTACGGTTATTGCAATAAAATTGTACACTAAAAAACTAAAATATATATATGCAGATACAGAAAAGATTTGGTGTTGCTGTCAGGAACGTGTTGAAGGCGTCGAGCAGCAGACCATGGACACATCCATTGAGTTGCAATCGTAATTAGTGCTAGTGGGCAGCTCCTGGGAGAAGGCGAAATTGGAAGTGTTCGTGTGGGTCTCATTGAAACCGCTATCGGTGCGATATAATCCGATTCTTGGTGCAGCCTGTTCCGGTTCCTTATCTAAATCAGCTTGTGGTGCCTGCTGTTGCTGCTCTTCTTCCTGCTTGTCCGACTCATCCAGCAGATTGGCGCTGAAGGATTGCGACAAGTTCTTGCGATTTGCGGAACGATGTCGACGATGGCCACGCGGTGTATCCGAATTGGAGGAGCTGCAATTGAAGCTGTGAGTCGATAGCTGTGACAATTGCATACCATCCGCATCCTCTTCCTCCACCTCCTCCTGATCGGTTTCATAGTCGGGCATCTCATCCTGCTCGATCAGCGATTTCACTGGTAATTGACGAGCACTGTTCACTCGCAAGCGACTCACGCGCTGATTGATGCTGCTATCCGTCGAGTACTCCAATGCCATTGGCGATGAACTGCGATCCGGCGTAAATTTGCACGCCACTCGTCCCGTGCCCGTCAGCTCCGAGAGCGTCACATGCTCAACGCTGCTGCTGCTTTGATTGTTGCTCGCAATCCTTTGAAATCGCCGGCTCAAATGCTCGGATGGTGCTATGGGTGAGGGTAGATCGACGAGTTCATGGAGCAGTTGTTTGCGCTTGCGTGCGCTACACGGCCCGTTGCCATCGTCCGGTGTGCCCGGATGCAGGCCACACAGATTACGGATGGGCGATAGGCAGCCAAAGCTGTTGGAACCCTCGCGTGGCGAATCGGACAACCGGCCGGCAAAAATAGTCTGCTTGGCTTGCGGACTCGAACCGACCATCTGCAAATGCTGATCCTCGTCCTCGGTTGATTGCTGGCGCTCCTGCTCCATTTCACCCAAGACAATCACATTCTTCAGATCGAATAATTTGCGTCGCATCGAACTGTTGAAGAGATCCAAACCACTGCCAGACTTGAGGCGTCGCGATGATCCGGCCAAATGGGACTGTAGATACGGACGCAGTGCCTCCTCCAGCGCCTTGGGCAGTACAGGTGGCAGCGATAGCTCCGTTTGCACCTCAGAATCCCGCGACCTGGGCTTGCTTCTATTCGAAATGGGCGTGTTATCATTTTGAGCGATTTCATTGAGTATGATGCGTTGCTTGCGCAACGGACAGTCTACGGGACTGGGCACTATGTGAGATTCCTTAAAGAATGCACTGATGGCCAGCTGGGCCTTGGACTCCTGCTCGGCGTCCGGTGAGTCATGAAACTGTGTCTCATGGGGCTCCACATCGGCTGGCTTCAGTTGCGACACTTCCTCAATATCCCATTCAAATTGAGTCGACGATAACTGCGGCGTTCGCGACCGGCACTGAAACAGCGATGGACTGCAAAGAAGGATTAAGGAGTTTTCTGATGGGAATATATCCAAAAGGAAAAACTCACCTGGCAATTAGGGGCAAATGCAGGCGTTCGGTTAATGCGCCCTCAAATGGATTTCGCACCTTTTGCAAACGTTTTGGTGGCGGTGTGCAAACAGTTGTTGATGTGCACATTTGGGGACTGCTTTTCAATTGCATTTTGCTCGCTTCCTTGGCGCCATTCTTTCCCGTTGTCGACGCCGTTGCTGAGAAATGATTGCTGTTGTTGTTGTTGCTGAGGCTGCGTCTGCCGCTGGTCGTCACTCGGCATTTGATTTCGTTGAGACTGGCATAGTATCGCGTCTTGAGTGCGTGCGGCGTACGCACCTCATCGGTGTACATTGTGTTGTAAAAACGATATTGGACAATTTTAATTTTAATTTATAGAAATTTTAACTAGTTTTCTCGCTCGGCTGCTTAATGCAGGCAGCTGCCAGTATTTCAAATGAAGTGCAGTGCTGTAAAACGACATTGAGCATTAATCGATAAGTTAGATACATATGTCGAGCATTTAGAGAGCTCGCCGTCAAATCTATCAAATAATTTACATTAATAAAAGGCCTACAATCAGTTTATTTTGCAAATTATAATTGACTCATTTTAAGCGTGTCAACAGAATTCGATAAGTTGTATGCAAATATGAGTTACCAATCGTAAATATCGTAATCGACGAATTTCTATTCGACTTACTGTTTGAAAGTTGTTTTTTTTTTGTGTAAAAAAAATTGTGTATTTAAAATGGAAAAATTGTGCCGCACTTGCGCCCAACCATCAAATACTCTAAGCGATATATTTGCACCAATGATGATCACAATGAGGGAAGAGCAACAATTTTCCTGCATGGCGGACTTGGTCAACGAACTCCTTGGCTTCGACATGGTAAAAAACATTAGTGATGCACAGCCCCAATATATATGTCACTTTTGCATTAATGCTACAAAAGCTGCTGTCGACTTCAAGCGCAATGTTGCAAAATGCAACCAAAATTATATCCAGCTAATGCAAGTGAAGGAAGAGCCGGAGGAGAAGAGGGTAATAAGAGGAAGGCATAAAGTGGCGGAATTCATTAAGGGAGAACAAGAACTTAATGCCATTTGCGCTATGATCGAAATCGAGCACCTGGAAGGATACTCGCCGAACAAGTCACAAGTTGAATCAATGCCCCATAAGTACAAGACTCGGCTAAGTGCAAGCTCCAACAAAACCAATCAGAAATCCAACATTATACGGCAAACAAAAAGCAACAGCAGCCGCAGCAGCAGCAGCAATAACAAATGTCCTTACTGCAATTTTACGCTGAGCACCCCTGGCAACCTGAAGAGTCACATTCGCCGGCACACCGGAGAACGTCCCTTCAAGTGTGACTACTGCCCGAAATCGTTTCTACAGAAGATAAACTTGATTGTGCACACGCGTGTACACACTGGCGAGCGTCCCTACCAATGCGCCTCTTGCCCGAGGTCCTTTGCCCAGGTTGCTGGTCTTCTTTATCACGGTCGCAAATTTCCAGAACATCAGCTGAACAAGAAACCAAAGATTATTTAGAACAATTACATATTAAAATAAAAGATAATAAATTTAGAATATAATACTTAAGACACAACAACAAACCGAATTTCTTTTTATTCATAATCCGTTGTGAGAGGGATGCAATTGATAGTTGCTCGTTGTTTTCTATGAAACACATGACAAATCGATAATTTTAAATTGAGCCGCGCAAATAATAAGTTAATTTTGCTGAGTTAAAATAATTGAGAATTTATTGAAAATTTATCATTTTATTCTTAGCGAGTGTTTGTATTTCACTATCTTAGTGAACGTGAGAGTAGTTACATTTTGTCAGCTTAAAATGATACTTTCTTTAAATTTGCGATCCTGATTACGTCAAACTTGGTATTTTTGTTTGATGTGAAATGAAGACTTTGGTAAATTTTCGATAGCCAGTTGCGGTCACACTAAAGCTCATTCTTTGAATCTAATTCCTCGCCACGCCACGGACGGCCGCAATCTAAGTGAGAGCAAAATTATTTTTTTTAATTGCATAAGAGAAATTAATCACATGCCTAAAGCCAAAAGAAATAAAAAATTAAATTTTACGTTATTGAAATTGTGCTACACCTAATTTGTGTAAGAGAATAAAAGTGCTTGTTGTACACATTTTGCATCGTGCTCACTGCTCGGCAAGTGCAGCGCATTATGTAACCTAGAAACGTGAAGAGCGAAAAAAGTGAAAAGTTCTGCAAATACCTAAAGCAGCAGTAGCAGCAGCTGATCGATCAATTTAGATTAGATACACGTTGTGCTAATTATATACATTTAACAAATTCTTCTTGTTTTCCCTTACAGTTTAGAAAGAACAACAACATCAACAACAAAAACCACAAAAATGTTCTCGTCATTCTTTCAAACTGCCAAAAATTCACCATTCCGGACGCCTTTCAACCGCGTCCAGTGCGATGATGGCCAGTCGGCTGTGATGGGCTCGTTGACTCCGTCAGCTGTTGGCAGCCAACCGGCTCCTGTGGTTGGACGCGAAATTGCCGCCGCTTCTGCTGCTGTATCATCGACTGATTCCTGTGAGTTTGGCAGCTCCAAATATTTTGCATTGTGCGGCATTGGTGGCATTTTGAGTTGCGGCACAACGCACACCTTTGTGGTGCCATTGGATTTGGTCAAGTGTCGTCTGCAGGTCGATCAGGCCAAGTATAAGAATTTATTCCATGGCTTCAAAGTCACCGTGGCCGAGGAGGGCGCACGTGGTCTGGCCAAGGGCTGGTTCCCCACCTTTATCGGTTACTCGCTGCAGGTGGGTTCAGTGACAATTATCTAATCACAACTCTCTAATTGCCTTGTGATCTATTATGTATGCAGGGCCTGTGCAAGTTCGGTTTCTACGAAGTGTTCAAGGTAAAGTACGCTGATATTCTTGGCGAGGAGAATGCGTATCTGTATCGCACCTATGTGTATCTGGCTGCTTCCGCATCGGCTGAGGTCTTTGCCGATATTGCACTGTCGCCATTTGAGGCGGCCAAGGTTAAGATTCAGACGGTGCCCGGCTTTGCCGGCACATTCCGTGAGGCTGTGCCCAAGATGATGAAGGAAGAGGGCATTAAGGCCTTCTACAAGGGTTTGGTGCCATTGTGGATGCGTCAAATCCCATACACCATGATGAAGTTCGCTTGCTTCGAGCGTACCGTCGAACTGCTCTACAAGTGAGTTGCGGGATGAAACTAATTTTTATTTGAATTTTTCATTAATGCTTGTGTGATTTTTGCCAGGTATGTGGTGCCCAAGCCACGAAGTGACTGCTCTAAGAGCGAGCAGCTGGTTGTTACCTTTGCCGCTGGTTATATTGCTGGCGTCTTCTGTGCCGTTGTCTCACATCCCGCCGATGTGGTCGTCTCCAAGCTGAACCAGAGCAAGGGCGCCTCCGCGGTGAGCGTTGCCAAGTCATTGGGCTTTATGGGCATGTGGAATGGTTTGATGCCACGTATCATTATGATTGGTACGCTTACGGCTCTGCAATGGTTCATCTATGATGGTGTTAAGGTCGCATTGGGCATTCCCCGCCCACCACCACCAGAGATGCCCGCCAGCCTGAAGGCCAAGCAAAATATGTAAATAAGTGGTTCAGAAAACAGTACACCCAAAAATACAACTGGAAAATATCTCCATTAAGTCTAAATTAGAGTAAAGATCAGGCAATTAGCAAAGAAACGAGGCGGCAAACAATATTTAGTGGCATGAACGAGCTGACGATACGAACATCCCTTATTTTACTGTCCAACATCTATATTTTGTTCAATCTATATCTATATCTGTATCTGTATCTATGAGCATTTTAGCCATTCCACAATTACTATTTATGCATTTTCACAAAACTGCTCTGCAAAACTATATTCTACATTCGAATTGCTGTATTAAGCTATACTACTAAACTTTAAATATTCCATTCTAATATTGTTTGTGTGTATTTTTAGTCAACATACAATATGTTGTTTTCCCTACCTCAACGATATATGTATGTGTTGAATTGATGGGTATGAGAACTTGATATTATGTAACAGATATGATGCGCTACTTGAATGCCACTTAGAGTATTTCCCAGAACCTCTGAATAAACTAAATTATATAAAAAAAAAACAACCTAATATGCAACTGTATTGTGTTTTTAAAATTATTTATTAACCGGTTTATCAACGGCGTGTTTTGCACTTGCACATTGTAATCATTTACCTATACTATATAATATCGATTTCACTGTGTGATAACCTATGACCTCAAGAGAACTACTACGACTTTATTTATTAGCAGATTATGATTATTTACACCAAATCATAACGTTACCATATTAGCATTATTTATACCACGGTATCATTATGGTATAAATACATTTATCTACTATTTTATAATTATCAGCGATTTAAAATAATAAGTTATGGTTGCTATAATTCGGTTTTAAAGGATTACCAATGAGATTGAGTTCTTAAAAAGCTATATAACAAGTCTGTTTTCACATTTGGGATTAATAATAGCTATTAATTTTTATGGTTTTCATGATGGAATATTTATGGGATTTAGCGACGAAAATTTATAATAACAACCCCATAAGCTGTATGGTCATAAAGAAAGAGCAGCTATCTTAGGCACTCCGAAGATAACATACTCTTACAGATAAGACAACATATTCAGCCTGCCAAAATCTACATTTCACTATAAATAAATTTTATGATATACTCATCGGATCATATAGCACAACTACGACTTTTTTTCTTACATATAACGAACATTAAACATTAGCTTTTAAGCTTTTTGAAATGTGGATTTTAAATATATTGTTTAGTATTCCCCCTATAAATTGAAGTAAGTACTGCTCCCGGAATTCTTTTTAATATGTATATATATCTTTTTTCAAGGGAAGGGAAAACTGCTAAAAACTAGAGAAAAAATAATAGAATTTTTTTATTTGAAAAATTGTGCTATTGTTTTTCTAGTTTTTCTTTTCTGTTGCAAAAACGGATATATTTACAGTTTCATCATCACTGAGGGACAAATTCGCAATTCGAAATCGACAGTTTGATGCAAATCATGAATTTATTTATAAGCCATGAATTATATTATTTATATGAGATCGGAAACATGTTCCTTTAATGCGTTACAAGTTTCACTACAAAATATTAACACATTATTCTACAAAAGTATAATAATCACTTCACACTCTGTGTTTTCGATTAGTGTCTTGCCTCGAAATAAAAATTAAACATTCTAATTTCCAATTTTAAAAATAGTTTTTATCGAATAGTTAGAAAGTGGTTCTTAAAACGTATACCTATAATTTAAATATGTTCTTTGCTGACTTCAGATCAAGCGGGTTTCACAGATTCTTAGCGTAAAGTCAGCTGTGGTGCAAGAAACACATAATAAAAAATTCTGAATCGTAATAAAAATAATATAGAATCAAATTCTACTAAACATTTGTATCCACTTTCAATAAATTATTAAAAAATTCTTCGTGTCACTTCGGCATTAAGTATACAATAATTATAAATAAAGAAAAAACAGTTGTTTTTTTTTCAAAAAATATTTATTTTTATGACCGATGAGCATAATATATATGTGTATATAGTATAATGGCTCGTTGTATCATGAGTTTCATTGCGTACATGTTGTTTTCAATTGGCATCTGTTAAAAACTAAATAATTATAAAGTTATGGATAAGAAAATCTGTTTTCTCGTCAGTTATTTTTGCTCGTGGCTACAGGGGAGAACTTACAATTAAATAACCTCTAAGCACTACAGCTAAATGTTTAAAAAACTAAACGCATAGTTAAAATGTATATAAATGTATTTAACAGGCAATTTTCTGGTGTATGATTTATCTACGTATGTAATGTGTATATATATGTACAGATTGCTTAAGACTAAGTTTCAAAGTCGGGTTGCACAAGAACAATTTTAGAGACGAACTGGAGTTTTTTGTTTGTTTTTTTTTTTAATGTGATGTTTTTCGTTTGGTTTTTTATTATGATTATTATTAATAAATTGTATTGCAGAACGTGTTTTCTCCGTAACAAGCCATTTCAGTCTTAGAGTTTCAAATAACCAAAATAATAATAAACAAAATTAAAAAAAAGAAGAAATTCTATGAAAATTTTCCATGCAAAACTTAATCACTAAAATTGTTAAATATATTCGTTTAGAGTTTTTTGTTGCTGTTGTTGTTTTGTTTTTTTTGTTGTTCCTGTTTCTTTATTTGCATATGAAGAATTTCGAAATAATGGTTTGCTAGGATAACTCACGCTTTCTTGTTTTAGTTATTATTATTATTATTTTTTTGTTGTATTTGTTTTTACTTTTGTTGTTTCGTGTTTAAACTAATATCAGTTATATAGTAGACAATCACACAGGCATACAGACAAACATAAAATCGACAATAATAGTAAAAAATTGATATTGATATCGTGACACAATCAAACATACAACTACTATTTTTTTTTTGTTTTCTGTTTTTGTTTTTTGTTTTTGTTTTTTTGTTGAAAGAGATATGTGTGTGTGTGGTAATCTAAGGATATGAACTTGAAATTCAAATGAGTTGGTTTTTATAAAACTCAGTTATGCTTAGAACTTAAAGTAGTTTCTGTTTGATTGTACGTAGAGAAAAATAAACCTCAAGTTAATGGCACCTTTTGGATTTGTACCAGGTTCTGGCTTTAAAAATTGTGTACGGTTTCAAATAAATGATCAGTTTCATCCTCACATTAATTTTGTTTTGCTTTGTTTTTTGTTTTTTGTTGGGTTCTTCGGAACCAATGTTTCTTTCAAATGGAAATCAATTCCAGCCGCAAGGACCTCGGACAGCCACAGGACCTGCTTTTTGTTAGCTATAGCAATTTAAGCTTAACCCGCGCTTCATCTACCAATATGGTGTAGTTGACTCCGAGCTAGTCTGCTTCTGCGCCTGGGCAAGTGCATCCGTCAGGGTGGACCGCATCTGTTGGCTGTTGGAGCTGCGATTCTGTGACTTATCATACGGCGACAGGGCATTGTAGTAAAAGGGCGAACGTTTGCTGATGGTATAGTTTTTGCCCTGAAACAAAAACAAAAAGCAATATACACGATTGTTAAGCAGTTGTTAATTGTTGGATTTCTTCTGCTAAAACTCACATCATTATTGTCCCAAAATTCAGTATCATTGCTGCGATAGCAAATGCAGAATTCCAAACGTTTGGACGATGGTGGCAGCGTTATCTTGAATGAGAATGTATCGAAGACGACGTGGGCACAGGTGGCTGGGCCATAGGCCCGGGCAAATGTACAAAATATGTCCTGTTGGCTCTTCCAGTCGTCCCAGGTGGTGCGCACAACGACCTCCTTTTGAAAATCGATATTCTTCACTTTGATGGTGCCGACCACAATCGATTCCTCATCCTTGACAATCACATTCTCCAGCGACACAAAATCACGCTCAATCTTTTGTCTATTGAAGATTCAATTAGTTTTTCGCTATGCGTATATATTAGTTTCAATTTGTGTAACCCACCTAAATGTCAAATAATCAGATGCTGGCTGCTTAAAGTCGACGGTCCATTGATCTGGCGGATGCGGGCTGACCAGTCCCTGTGTGATTTGCTCCAGGAACTTCATGCTCCAGTATGGTGGCACATTCGAGGGCTCCGACATGACGCGCACCTCCGTCAATGAGAGACCCTCATCATCTGCAAAGATCACATGTTTCTTGCGCAAACGACTGCAATCGAGAGAAAAGACGCAAGAGAAATGAGCTTAAGTAAATTTATATAGATGACGTTTAAATATATATGTATATATGTATTTTCGCGAGCAGCCATTAAATTTCGAATGCATTTTTAGCATTGAACCTGGCCTTATCAGTTGTACTCTTGCTGTGAGACCACCCCACGTAATAAACCAAAAACAAAACATCTTTATTCAAGGGGGGTCATCAAGTCAAGTATCATTAAGGATTTCTATAATTATGCTTAAAAAAAAAGTTGATGATTTTGTTTGTATTCAAATTGAATAGAAACTGCGACGTTGCATTTTTGTTTTCATATGAGATTTTATTTTTGGCAAAACCAATACTTGAATTTAACAAACACAAATGTAGCCAAATAAAAACTCAAGTGACCAATTTATCTATTTTTTTATTCGGTTTTTGGGTACATTTTGATCGTGATTGCCAGCAAATTGCACAAATCGGAAGCTGTCGGCGCCCATTTGCCAGTACATTTGGCATTTAAAGATTTTGCCTCCTTTTTTTCCGATAAAAACAAAACTCACTTATTGTATACAAAAATGATTTTGAGAATTATTTAAGACAACAGTTTTATTATTATTTGCACATTTCGCAAATTGTTGTGCATTTTTTATTTTTTGCGTCACAATATTTGGATACACATACACACTCCAACGGGGAGTGTGAGAAAAATGATTTTGAATTTCGTTCTATTTTGGTCGGCACGTAGCATTTTCCGAATACATGCCCAATATTTTCGTCTCGGGCGAAAGAGTGGGAGGCAAAGAGAGAGAGACGGACAGAGAAAGAGAGAGACAGAGAGAGAGAGAGGGAGAGCATATGTCTAGTATTTAGAGTATATCTCTGTTATTTATATGGATATTTTGTGTTGGTTCCAAGACACCCACTGTTTTTTTGGATGTAAATAAAACACGCCCATTTCAAATGCCTTATAATATAAATTATTCATCTGACGAAAAACGCACGAGTTTTGCTAACTTATATGAAAAACAAATGTATGTGAATAACAAATGTGAAATAAACTGAAATTATTGCAACATTCTTGCGGTCCAAATTATCGATAATTTGTTGTGTGTTTAAAACAAGAATGCTCTAGACGACTTGGCGATACCTTGAACTCAAGTCTTTACCTATTCTAAGTGGTATAACTGAAAATACTGACTGCTGCTGTGCAATTTGGTAAATATGAATAAAAGATTTCCTCAAAGATCTCTCAACCGAATTTGATTAGATTTTTAGAAGCCCAAATTTTATTGCAATTATATAATACTATCAATATTTATATATATATTTATCTGGTCTATCTGTTACACATTATTACACAACTTCTACATACCCTTTATTGCCTACTATACCCAATATTCTATTCTATTGCAATACTATTTATTAGATACCAATTTATTTGGGGGCTTGTTTTATTGTCACAGTGAATAAATAGAACTGTAGCGAAATGTATATTGAAAAGCTAAACAAACCCTTATAAATATTACTCATAATATTCTCAACACACTTTTTAATGAATGGCAAACACTGAGAGCTTTTAGTAATATATATATATATATATAAATATGTGTGTAAATATGAGTACGTACATAGATACGTTTGTGTACTTTCTATAATAAACGTGGCCAACACACAAATTGCGGCTATTTGCTTAGTTGGCTGGGTTTATTAGTTCGAAACCAATATCAAACAGCCGGCTGGGGCGTTTTGCTGCCAACGTTCGGCGATCACGCGTCGACGGCGTGCAATGATCAACGCTGCATTTTCTTCAACAGGTTTTTTGTATTTCATTTCTTTAATCAGCCGATCGAACGATCGCGGCTCGCATATACATATATATATATATATATACATATGTGTGTGCCTGTGTCTGTGGGGGGAGCCCCTCAAATCAGGTCTCGTTTTGGAACGCACTCTCCTGCGCTCCAAATGCTGCATGTGTCAACTATGAATTTGTAGTCGTTTAACAACAAAAAATTTACATAGCTTTACAGCTTTTCAGTTTTTTAGTTTCTCATAGATTTGTGGCTTTTATAGGCCACTTTTGGCTGGAGGAAGCCAAAGAAATGTTGAAACGGGTTTTGCATTTCTTTCTTGTTTTCTGGCTGCATTCATTTTAAAGACAACAAACAAAAACTGCATAATTTATATGGGGTCCGGTTTACAACAAATTAACAGTCCCCCAAAAGCGTGTAAATGTCTTTAGTATGCGCTGCACATAAAGGTGTGAAAGAAACAAGTTTCTTGTAAAGGGATTACAAAAGCACTCGACAACCAACCGATAAGCTATGCTATAAGTGTAAACTTTAGGCACATTAGCTGACATTATCAACAAAAAACCCAAATATCTTTGAGGTCTTTCATAAGTTTGGCAGGTAAGAGTAGGCTTGGAAAAGTCAACAACCCTTTGGGGTATGATTAACCAAGACATATAAGAATGCCTTGACCTTGTCAAATATTTTTGTCACCTGATGGTCAGCCTGCTGACCTTTACAGACAGCCTTGTTGTCCGTCAGTAATCAACTCATAATTATGACAAGGTGTTTCCGCCTACTTACACACACTCTCTCTCTCTCTCTCTCTCTTTCTCTCTGTCTCTTTCTCTCTGTCTCTTTCACTCTGATAATACAAATACCATAGAAAATGAGTTCTATTCAAATTAGTCGAACTAAAATTATATAAATGCTATATTTGTCCACTCATAAATATTCTACTTTTATTCTGTTTAGATTTTTAAATCAAAATTTACACATTTTAATTTTGAAATCTTTATGTATTTCAAGCACACATTTTTACACGTGATGAACGAATGCTCAAACTGTTTGTATAAGTTGTTCGAGAGATTATACACATTTTTACATTCAAATATATACATATATATATATAGAAGTGTATGTTGAAATCATTTTTAAACTAGTATACACCCAAAAAAAAATAAAATAAGAGAACGCAATTATCACGCGTTTAGTTTGAAATTGCTGTCGTACATTTTTGGGGGGCCTTGGCGTGACCTGGTACGCTGCCATAGATCTTGTCGGGTCTATTTAGTGCCTCAGATCTTGTCAAGCTTATTTAGTGAGGTAATTAAAAGTGTGGCATGTCTCGGTTGACAAGCAAAACTTGGGTAGGAAGTCCGTTTGTGATTGATGAATAGCAGCACAAGTTGGCTACAATATTGAATATTGTCGATTCAATAGATACAGATATATATATATTTAAGACTTTCCTTGTCAACGATTCACATCAATCTTATCTATCTCACTGTAATCCACGTTCTTACACCGTGAAGTGCATATTTTCCAATTTTAATATCAATCGCTTTACAAACCCTCGAGTTATTTAAGTTGGCAAAGCTGCTGCGTAGTTTTGCAGAGCAGAAAGGCAGTCATTTTTTAAGAAACAGCAGTCAAATACAAATATCTATAAGCATTCCTCTCTTAAGGAGTAGTAAAATGAGTCAAGAAATCAAAACCAATAAGAAACACCCCTTTCTTATAATTAATATTATTATTAATTTGACCGCAAACAGTTTTTTCTCAGTGATTGAGTGCTGTACGCAACCGCAAAGCTTACAAACATATATATATATATATATATTTATATGTGTATGTGTCTGGTTTACATTGATAATGATGTATGTGTATGTGTACTCGTTACATGAGTGTTAATGGCTTTAGGTGATATCAGCCGATGTGGCAATCCCCCGTCTAGACTCTAGACAAATGCCCAACCAAAAATAGTATCTGTATCTACAAATGTGCACGCATTCACTCTCGAACTGATGTTCGTTGTCTGCTCGGAACTGCACTTTCCATTTTGTATTTTTAGTCATTTTTTCTGCTTCAAAATGTCAAATTCAAGTGCATAGAAGCTTTTAGCCTCAGCACAGCAGTATGAGTTGTATATAGAAATATTTTTAGTATGATAAGCTTTCAATTTAATTTTGCTGTTTCAAGATTTCAAATTCACCTACATACATATATCTTAAAGAGAGATAGAGAGAGAGAGAGAGAGAGAGAGAGAGGGCAGGGATGAAGGGAAAGCTATATAATAATGTTGTCATATTGGAATGCTTTTGTACTGAAAACCTTAATTGTTTTGTCTTTTATTATCTCTAAATGGCAAATATACACATTCAAACATGTTTTAACTATTTTGGGAGCCCAGAAAAGGTTAAGATGCGGATTGCAAATTTGCACTCAGCACTTTAAATATTTTAAATGGGTTTAGGTACATTTAACTGCACATTCTATATTCCATTATATTTCTAATATATATATATATATATTTACTTTTAGAAAAAAGCCTCTCTACAATTTTGACAAAGAACCATTTTCATGTTTTTATGTATGGAGATTTGAAATACTTTTTTCAATTTTTTTTTCTGAAATATATTTCTTTTATGTTTGTATATGTGAAATCTTAATATATTAATGTTTTATAATTACATAATTCGCGAAAAACTTAATATAAGTTAATATGTATGAGTACATATAAGTAAGATCACCCTGGAAATTGATATATTTTTCTAAATTGTAAAAAAAAGTAAAACACTGGTTTAAAAAAAAAAATACAACCTTCAGTTTTCGAAAAATGCTTTCTGAAGAATAAGGTGAGTTAGCCTTGGCTCCAAAATTCAAGGCGTATTTTTTCCGAGTGTACTTTTATCCCTGTGACATGTGCTCGCGATGACGTCTATAAAAATTGTACCGACTGCCAACGAAAATGTTTAGATTTATCTTTTTCTTGATCTCTGGCCAAATTTGGTTTAAATGCAGCTGCAAAATATATATATATGTATATGTATATATATACATGTGTGTATGTGTATATTGTAGATAATTTTCACGATCTCTAGATTCTGTTGGTTACTTTCTATTTACCCTATTGAGTGTCACTGTTGCAATGTAGTTCAATTTGCGGTGGCGCCATTGTCAACCAAAAAACTGACGTCAAATCATTTTGTGGTGGCTTGTTTGCACTCGACCCACTCTGGTTACCGTTATGCAACCAAGCTCAGTCGGCCAACTCACCTCTGATCCGAATGTGTCACGAATCCATCGCTGCTGTCCAGCTCTGTTGTGTTCGTGTTGCTTCTGTTGTTGTTGCTGTTGCAGTTGTTGGAACTTTCATTGCTTTTGTGCAGGCAGGATTTGCGACTGAGGCACGATTTTGGATGTTTGTTGAGCGCTGGGGCAGAGACCATGCGCTCCAAATAGCTACGACCGGAACGACTGCCAACGCCAAGAGGCGTACCACCCGTCTTAGTGGGCAACTGTTGGCCCTGGGCGGCATTTGAGGCATTGTGGACCATCGCCTTGGAGGCCAATGTGACCGCTTGTGGACGGCAATAGCGTGATGCTATGCTATTTGGATCATCATTGTAGCTGAAAGCAGACGGATCAGATGCACAAATGAGTATATAAATCCATATTATATATATAACACTTATATATATTTCCTAAAAGATCTGCGCATTATGTGCATCTATATATCCCAAGTGATCTTTTTTTCTCTACATGTCTGTCTCTATCTCTCTCTCACTCTCTCTGTCTCTGGGGAACATGCGGCGCTCACGTTTACTTTCTTTTTATCAGTTGCATGGTGATAAGACTTTCCCAGTATATTGTGGCGCTGTCTTTTATTTTTGAGTGGCGATAACAGATGGCATTTACTTAGCACGGAATGGCATGGCATTGTTCAGTTGCTATACTCGTACATATATTCTATACTATCTATAAAGAAATAGCGTCGCGCTTCTGTGCATTGATAAGCAAAGAAATTGTTGAATCTATTAGAAGTGACCTCCGGTCTTCATTTGAATAACAGCACTCATGAATTTTGGTTGATTTGAATTGCTATTCGTATTTTGTGTGTATTCACAATATTCGTATGTGGTCTCTTTCGCACATGATTCATCATAGAATTTGGATTATTTTTGGACAACAACTGTTTGCAGTTTCTAAATATTCTTCTTCTTTTCTTTTTTTTGCTGATTCATATCAAATACTATTTTTCTCGTCTATGAGGTCAATGTCTGATAAGGCAATATTTGATGCTATTTTGTTATTTTAAATTTTATTAGGTAAATGTTGACAAGGGTGAAATATAAATGACTTCTATAAATAGAGAGTGTTATCTTTGGAGTGCCAAATTTATTGTGAATCTGTTTACTTGGCTTAAAAAAAAATTGCTCAACTTGAAATATTTGCTTATATTGTTTATGTTAATTTTAATTTGATTATTTTTTTTTAAAGAAACTTGTGTATTCGCCTATATACATATGTGATGCTAAGCCATTTTATTTTTAGCTTGAATGCGATTTAATACAAATGTATCGTATATATTTTTATGGCCCAAACTAAATCTTTCGGCACATATGGACAAGCATGATTGAGATCAATTGCGTCAAGCAGAAGCCAGCACAAGACCCAAAGTTCCCCAATATAATTGTCAAACACAGCAAATTATGTTTAATTTTTCAAGCGCCACGCGCAATTCTTTTGCCGTCAGCATCATTTGGCCACAGAGAAAAAAATATATCCCGCACCCCATCCCCTTGCTGCTGCGTCTCCCGACTTTCTAAATCTCTTTATTTCTGTCTGGCGACGGCAGCACTGAAAGTTTTGTTTTGATCATTCCATTCCTTGCCTTGATCTTGACGGCTTTCAATAATTTTTCGCAATTTTGTTGTCAACCAGAACAACCTTAACATATTTTTAGTGTGTGTCTCAGTGTTTTGCAAAAAAAAATGTGTGCTAAATTAAGATTTTCCAATATTTAACCTGAACTCGCAATAACATTATACACCGAATCGATTTTGTACTTAATATATTTCCGATGTGTTGTGAAAATGTTATATCAATATTGAATCCATACAGAGTACTTCCTTTCATGGGGGATTGACTGGTAAATATAGATATTTACCCATATATTTTTATTGTTTGCATTGACAGCAAAAATATAACCTACATCTTGGAATGTTCACCTCGAATTGTCAAAATTTATGCTGTGTAGAATTTTTAGTATAATTGTTTTGGTTTATTTAAAGGGTATGCGAAAATCTTTGCTACATTGTACAGCACTGTAAAGCTTTCGCTTCATATTTTTATTGAAGTTATTTTCGATCACAATATTATTTATCGATTATGTTATTAACGGAAGTGAGCTTTTCATTAGTATAATATTTAATCAGCACTTGTTTCATTTTTTTCTTGTTTGTTTATAACAAAATCACGTACGCAGCTGTTTGGGTTATATCAGAAAATACACTGTGCTAATCTAATGATAAAAATAAATTCCAGAGTAGAATTTTAATGCACAAACTTTAAGCTGTAGAAAGTATTCGACTTTATGGGAAATTTTTTTTATAAAGCCTAACGCTTGTTATTAATTTATTAACAAAAACAAAATAAACAATTAATAAAAAATTGAATTTTGATTGGTTGCCGAAACTCGCGTTTTCAATTGAAGCCACTTAATGGTGACCAGTGCAGATTGAATGAGCCCCCAATTTGTGTTAATAATAGTTAAAAAAAAAAATCTATTATGTGCACTTACTTCAATGTTTGACGCTGACGTCCGCTCATATAGTCCACCATGAAACTAATGGGTGGACTGTGACTGAATATGGGTGGACTGTGTGAAATCATTTTATAGATTGCTTTCTTTCTGTAGGCGTAGATCGCTAACAAGGAACTAATTATTGATATTTCGCTGTTGTAATTAGCAGCAAAGGCCTGGAAATTGGAATTGAAAAAATAAATATATATATCAATATTTATATATAAATAAAGTGTGAAAAAATATTTAAGCAAGCGTAAAAAGAATTTTAATTGGAACTCACTATAAACAAAACGCACGAATGCAAATGTTTATGGTATTTAAATTCAATAGTATATATTGTTTGTGTGTAATAGCTTATGCCGAGTACTTACCGTTAGTTGGTATTTAACTTTGTTGTGGTTTTCCTTAGTTCTCTCTTTCTCTGTCTATCGGGCAATCTCCGCGTGTTAAGGAACTTTACTGGTATCACTGTTACTTTTTGAATTCTCTCTTCTCTTCTTCAACTTTCTTATGGACCTCTATTTTTTTTTTGTTTCATATGTGCATCACGCGCTCTCTTCTTACGCGTCAGACAATGAAAATTTTTGTTGTGTGAAAACTTTTGATATTGTGCTGAATATTTCAAACACACACGCACGCACACACACACAACTTGAGCAGCACCGCACAAAACAAAACGACGAGCGACAAAACTAATTTTACAACAAATAATTCGAAAAAATATTAAATTATTTTTCCTTTTCGCGCGTTTTTCTTCTATTTATATTATTATTAAATGTGAATTGAATTATATTTTATTTTTAGTATGTCATTTGTAATTAGAACGGACACGAAGAAATTAGGACCGCATCGCGTTTTGTTATTGCCTTGTTGCCGTCCGGCTTGGAGTACCGTACGCCTCGACGATACAGAGACGAATAAAATGTCGTTGTTAGGGCAACTTACCGTCAAGACTGCCTGCCTGCCGCCAGCCAGCCAGCCAGGCAAACGCCGCCACAGCGATCACCGAGAGAGAGAATGCGATTTGCTCGTATGCTCGAGAAGCTATTCTCTCGGGATCTTTCTCAATCGGCCTCTCTCTCTCGCTGCTCGCAGCTGCATTTTAATGATGATAGCGAGTGCAGTGCAGTGATTATTGTTGCTGTTGGAGTGGGTTTCAATTTAGTTTTCGCTGCTATCATTGTTTAGTTTTAGTATTAGTTTTAGGCGCCGTGTGCGCCTCAGAGGCATATTCACTTCACGTGTCAGGCTTAATGGACATGATCAGATCAGATCAGCGTACAGATTATGGACATTAGCTCGTGCAGTCGTCTTGTCAAACAAAATTCATTTTAATATAAAATTAACGCGAATAGGCGCGCATTTGTATTTATTGTTTGCATGCGATCAGCTTCTGCGACTTTAAACAGCTGCTGTATTTTATCTTATCATTCGCATTAGCTTCAATCTTCTCATGCTGATAAAAAGAAAACCAAAAAAACACACAAGAGAGAGGAGAGAGAGAGAAAGAAACTCACTGAACAAGTACTCGAATTCAACTTAACTCAACTCAATGAGTGACCATAATAAGTTGCTGACGTTTTATGGTTCGAGTCTTTTGAGTGTTTTTTTTAGATTTCTTTATAGGGTCTGCAGTTGGGTAGCTGCTGCAATCGGAGACCTGAACCTGAACACCTTTACATCCTACGCTTTTCTTGATGCAATTTATGTTTGTTTCACATTGCCTTTGTCGAGGGTTGTCAGCTCTAAATCAATTATGCTGCTCTTCTGGGGGGAATTTGTGTAAAATGTAGATGCTTAGATATGTAATCTGCTTTATTCATAGACTTTCTTATGCGCTACGGGAAAATTGAGCAGGTATATTGTTTTGACTAGAGACATGACAATAAATTGAACTGAACATTTCGTTATTTTCTTTCTGCTCTGACCTCTTTTTATAATTTAAATATGTATTTAGCTGGCAGCAGGTTATATTTATAAAATATATCATTTTTTATTTATAATCAGACTGTTTGATTTCAAAATACAAAACAGATGGGTTTACCTATTCTAGTTAAAGACATTTTCAAAATGTAGTTGTTCAATATGTGAAAAATGACATAAATGAGAAAATGTAGGCAAACTGTAATAGTTTGATTTGATTAGTATGCGCACAGTGCGTGCGTATTTATTTTAGATTTATGCAGTGCACTCCATTGAATAACTAACATGAAGTCAAGTGACTTGCGAGTGCTTTCATTTGAAGTACCCACATCATTTTCATAGATGACAACGACAACTCTGTGAAATTTTCGACGATTTCCGACCAGACCCGGCCGACCGAGTATCATTGGATTCGGGTAACGCCGAATCTATTTCTTTTCACGGTGCATAGAAAGTATGCCTGTGTGTGTGTGTGTGCTCTGCACGTGTGTGTGTGTGTGTGTATGGCGTTCGTGACTCGTTGACATTCAATGATGGCGGGCAGGTTTAGGTCTTCGTCCCAGCCCCAGTCGCAGTCCCAGTCGCGGGTCTTAGGTAGTTGTTGAGAAATGCTCGTCGAGTGCGTGATCTCTAATATGATAATGCAGTTTTTGTCTCTCATTGTTTGTGTGCGTGTGTGTGTGAAGGGTTCACGAGAGATGTTTCTTCAAGTGTCTCAATTGATTCGTAACCACTGTGCCACTTTCATTGGGTGGCACTTCTGTGTGTGTGTGTGCATGTGGGGAGGGGGAGGGAGTCAAAACACTGCACACACTCGCTGCTGCTTCAAGTCCAAGTAATTTATTTGCTTTGGGGAGCCGGCGGACTTTTGAAAATGCGCTTCGCAGATTTGCCGGCCGGCCGGCAGGCCGGCACTTGTTCACCTAGTCGCCCCACTCCCTCCTTGCCATCCAACCGCTCCACTGCTTCACCCTCCGCAACGAACCCCTTGCTGTGGCTAAAAGCCGGTTTAACGATGCATCGTTTCTGAAGTGGCTCGTTGCATTTTTGCCGGCCACTTCATCAGCATTCGTCTATATACTACATAAATACTATATGTATATATATATACCATAGACGCGACTCCCCTTAGTTAGTTGCGATGATCTTCATTGCTCATCTTCTTCTCTCTGTGTCTCTTTGTTGCACTGCCCGTGTAAAAATTGGCCATGTGGCATTCACAATTCTCTGTCCTCGATTATGAACTGCACTTGAAATCACTGCTAAAATGTTACTCAAATATTTATACAGATATATTATAAATGTATATATATAATATAGCATATATATGTATATGTGTATATATACCGAGTGCTGTCTGTCTATTTCTGTTACACTTCTCATACTATATTTGTACGAAAACTATCTCAGCCGAGCAGCAGCGGATGTGATGCATTATTTAACAGGCGACTTTCCATTTTTGGCCTGCGTGTGGGTTACCACTTGGACATGGCACACATCCAATGATTTAGTATTTTAGTTTGTGTTTGCGGACTAAAACATGTTTTACCACTAACATCGTATTTTACATGTCGCTTTCTACGCCAGAAGTTGCTGCCTATCAGCCCGATCTCTAATAGTCCATGGAAAATACTGTTATTTACAAAATTATTGCAATTTACTTGACAATTCAAATCTTTCTTTATTGCACAGGATATGACTATTATGTATCAGACTTGCATTTTGTATTTTACATTTTACTGACTGTTATGGCCTCGGGCTACCTGTTCCGGAGCTCAGACCTGCTATTTTGTTACCAAAGAATAGCGAATTTTGCTGCCCCTTTGGAAACCTCAGCTACCTAACATGTTAGCCAAAATGATCGTGAACAAACAGAAGGAACATTTGTTAATAATAAACAAATATGGTTGATCATTTGGTGGCGATTTCTAAGAATTCATGCTTTGCAAATAACATATGCATATATTTATTTATATAGAGAAGAGAATGTACTTTCTGAGTCACTAATTTTGATTTTTCACTCAGAGTCACATCCTAAACATAAGAATTTCTATATAGAATAAAGATTTTATTTGTATATAAGGTTTTTTTTGAGCCCTTGTAGAGAGTGTTATATTTTTGTAGTAATTTTTGAAACGCATTGAAGGAAAATTCTTCATCCCGTCGAATTATAAATTTTCTCATCAGCGTCGCTTACCGAGTCCGTCTGTCCTTTTGCTTATGTGCATCCGTTGTTAAACTATCTGGGTGAAACCTGGAATAAACCCTTCCTTTTTCTGCAGACAGAACATATGTCGGGTCCAGTCGTATGGGATTACTAAATCATGCAGCTGCCATAGAAACGATCGGTTAAAACTTTAGCTTGCTGACGCCTCTTTTTTTGGTTCATCAGATTTCGAAATCAAAATTCCCAAATATGAATATTTATATGCATCTCACAGTTGGACCAAAAATCATTGAGATCAGACGACTATATCATATAGCTGTCCTAGGATTGATCGATCAAAAGATGAGTTCTTGTATGCAAAATTAGTTAGTTTCGTAAGATATGAAAACCAATATGCTTATATTTTTTACCCGATCTTTCTTATATTTTTTTAGAGTTTCGATTTGTGGAATTCTCGAAAGTGATATTTTATATAATATTTGTACAAAACCGATAAAATTACAAATTGATTGTTGACATTTTAAATCGCTAGGCTTTGTCAAGCGAGAAGGCCAAACAAAATAGACTCAAGCGTGGCAAGCGTTGTCTGGAACTGGGTTTCGAATAGTGACCTGAACGAAGGGGGCGTAGTGGGCAGGGCAATGGCAACAACAAGCTGATGAAATCAGTTGAGAGCAGCCAATATCAGCAACATCTGCGGCGCCAAAAGTGAAAAGATTATCAGTGATTAAAAGGGTATTTCTACAAATTGTTGCTACATACATATTTGTATATAACTATATATATGTATGTATGTAAACTTGTAGTAAATATGTAAATAAGTATATACGACTGAAAGTTTAAATTTAGATGAGAGGCGTGCGACTTTCAGTGCTTATCAATGTAGACGGCGATCATGATGCTTAGAGGGGCACAGCAGGTTGATCCATGGGATGGTTTGCGGGGCAAGCTGATAAACTGCGCAGCATAAACTAAACACAAATCTAATAAATATAGCTTTGCGTTTATTTTTGGCAGACGACGACGAAAATCATGGCGTAACTGACCTAGAGCAGCTGATCAAGGCGTGATCAACTATTTGGCAGCAGCAGCAGCAACCAAAAACAACAAAAAAAAGTACAACAAATAGAAAGCAGAAATTATTCTATAAAATTAATTTGTGCATGCAAATGAAGCGTAGCAATTAGTCAAAGCTTCAGCACTAATCATTATAATTAATCATATGCACATATATGTATATATATGTATTTATATATGTATATGCAATCATAATGCATGCTCATTTTATGCGAGGGTCAATGAATAGGCGCTTAGAAAACTGCGAGCTGCGATCTGTGATCTGTGATCTGCAGTCGTGTATTGAATCGAATCGATTAATAAGTGTGCGCCGCGTAATTTTCCATTAATTATGCGATTTATTATGCAAATAGTATATTGAAAGGCGCGACGTCTATTTAAAGATGCAAGCCTTGTTTGTGGTTCCAGTGAAGCCACCGAGCACGAGCTGATCACGTTTAATACTTGTGGCTCTCTTGGACAGGCACACAATTCAAATATGTAAACAGTTGAGTATTTTGAAAAACTGTTTCATTGACATCAGTGCGACTCGACGTCTGCCTGTAATTATGATATGGCGCCCATTGTGTCTGCTGATAAGCGACCAACTCCACCCAGACCAGAACACACTGTGCATGTACACCGAGCCTGTAATAGCCGAGACCTCAAAAAAAAATAAACCAAAAAAAAAAGAATATTAATCAGCAAGCGGCTTATCAACAGACCCGAACTAGTTGTATTGCTCTTCATTTTTGGCTGTCTGAGTCTCTAATTATAGTCTGCAGCGGGGAGCCGACGAGACGA